AGCTTGACACCTTGCCCGTATCTCTACCTGCAAAATTTCAGGCGCCAATACAAAGTGGAGAACCCCCAAAGTTCGAGAAAATGAGTTTTTTCAAGAACAATAAACGTGTCTTAAAACATTCAAAAAATATGTTTTCGACCCCCAAAAATTCAAATCCGAGTACTAAATTTCGAAAAAAGTTCACCTTAGGGTCACCAGAGGTTATAAAAATTCGAAAAAATGTGTTTTTTCAAGAACAATATATGTGTCTTAAAACATTCTAAAACTATTATAAATAATATAAATATAATATAACTTTTCATCGTCGACCAATCAAATCAAATGCTCATTCGCTTGGACACTCTTTCGCTTGTGTCCGTGCAAAAGAGCGTCCCGAGCATTTGAGCGCCCGCGCAAATGAGCGCGACGAGCATTTGAGTGTGCTCCGATTAAATCTCCACGGGCCTGTTAACGGGTTAAACCCGCGGAGCGGGCGTTTATTGCTTGAAAATTAAATGAAAAATTGATCATTTATGTTTAATTACTATTATTTCTATTTTTTATCAATGAGAATGGCAGAATTGAGGAGTTTCACTCAAAGAAAGTATCTTTGCATTTGCGGTCAATTTAAATAAGTTTCTAATATTTTTTGTCTGAGATCATGATAAATGAACTTTTCAAGTTGTTAAATAACTATCCAAGTCTCATTCATTACAGTGAAAACCAACTTTAAGGGGCGCACTGGTTATGTCGCTGAATGTCGCCGAATGTCGCTGAATGTCGCCGAAGGTCGCCGAGTGTCGCCACTTATTTTCGAAAAAATAGGAATTATGAAAGAAAAATTGTTTTTTGGCTCAAATATTCAAAACAAACTTGTTCTAGAACCGAAAAAGGCGGAAATAGTAGGAGGGGCGGCAATAGAAGTCGGATAACAACAAATTTTCACATATTTTTGGGACAAAAATGACTTATAAGTAGGGTCCGTACACAAAAATTAGGTACCCGAAATAATGGCTCAATCTTTTGATTTTCTAATATGTTTAAGAAATAGCTAATCTAAGTGATTTTGCTTTTTACCTTTTCCTAAACTAAAGGGTTGAACAGATATCATAAGTCAAAAATGGGCATTTTCGGGTTCAATATGTTCTCCATCGACTTCAAAAAATTTGAGGGTACCAATATGACCGGAAGACCGAGCTTAACTCAAATTCGTTTTAAAAAATCTGAAACACCCACTCCCTCGCCCGTAATTAACAAAAAACTGTAAATTTCGCCGATGTTTTGAACGCGGCGCGCAGCGCTCGATCACGCACGGGAGCGCGTGATAGAGGGTGGCCGCGCAAATTTGCGAAAATTTGAGAGCTAGATATAAAAGCTCTCTTAGTTTTTTTTTCAAAAATAATAGTAATTTGATATTGATAAATAATTTAAAAGACTAATTAAGGGAGAGGGTGAGGTTTAAAAAAATTAAATGAAAACCATAAGAAAAAATAAAACCGAGTGTATAAAAATAAATTGGGAAAAGGGAGTGGGAGGGGTTGGGGACTGGACCGGCCTCTGTCAAGCCCCTTAATTAAAATTTGCCAGGGATGGGGCTGAGACGGCCCGAAGGGCCGTCAAGCCCCTTAATTAAAATTTGCCAGGGATGGGGCTGAGACGGCCCGAAGGGCCGTCAAGCCCCTTAATTAAAATTTGCCAGGGATGGGGCTGAGACGGCCCGAAATTATAAATTATAATTCATAATTTAATCATAATATAATTTATCAAAAATAAAGATATAAATTTTATTCAAATTAAAACTTCTTTTTTATTTTAAATTAATTTCATTATTTAAAGACTCAATTTATATGAGTATTTATTGAATTAATATTATTAAAAACTTTTTTTATTTCAAATTGTCCCTAGCGCGGTATTTTTCCTTTTACGCCGCGCTCACCCTACAATTTCCAAATAAGGAAAGTGAGGCGCTGTACGCGCGGCGCGCCGCAAAAAGGCTCATTCTTGAGCTTTTTCTCTAATTTGAGCATGTTCTCCTCGTGTTTCAAACTTTTTATTAAAGATTAAAACAAAAATCCCCCTTTTACATAACTTGAAATTATAAATTTTTTTGAAATCGATGGAGAAGGCTATTTTTTAGCCTATTTTGGCGATTTACTCCTCAACCCTTTTTCAAAATTTATGAAAAAATGTTTTTATATTTGTTAAGGGCATTCAATTAACCCCTTAAAATTTTAAATCATTTACTTTGTGGATAAAAAGTTAGAATTTTTGTGTACGGACCCTACTCATAAGGGTTAATTGGGAAAGGCCCGAGTCAACCGCATGTTTCTTTCGCCCGAATCAAGTAGGATTCCAAATAGGTTCTTTAAATTGGACTCTTAATGATTCTTTTTTCAAAAATATTTTTCTGTCAACATATCAGAGAAATGGATCGAAAATCTCCATGGAAATCTTCATGCACTTGAACCCATCAATCTTCAAGCGATCATGCATCAACACAGGACTACTTCAAGAGGATTTTTCGACGTGAAATCAAGCAGTTTGAAGATCTCGATGTTGCAGAAAATGTTCTGGACAAACAAGAAGAAGAATTTGTCGAGCATTTTCTGGCGCTTCAAATTGTTGAAACACTTCCTTGAACTCGGATGAAGATTGAAGAACTGCCTCAAGTTCAAGTGACAGACAATGCCGACACTGAAAAGCCATTGACTTTAAAATGGCCGTAGACACAGTCGCTGATAACTGGCTTTTACAAGCGAAATTGCTCCTTTCGGATTTTGAAAAATTAAAAAAATGGCCTTAAAGTGGATTTTTAGGATGACAGATTTTGGAGATTTTCCGAAAAAGTGGCCTTAAAAGGGTGAGCCTTAAAATGGGTTTTCACTGTATATTCCTCAAGGTTAATTCGCAAATAAATGTGTCTCTGTTTTCATGCCATTTTCAGTGAATTCGTGCCATTCGCGCCATTTTCAGTATTGACCGCGATTTTGGCATTTTTGGCATTTTAAATGGCGATTATCATCACGTGACAATCAAAATTCAAATATATTTTCAAGATTCTTTTTGGTTAGCAATAAAATATCTCTTCCCAAAAATCGGTTGTCACTTCCAACCTTTCGGGATCCCGAATGTTTCGGGATTTCCCGAATCTTTCGGGATTACTCCCGAATCTTTCGGGATTTCCCGAACCTTTCGGGATCGCCCGAATCTTTCGGGAGTTTTGTTGAGGATTACGTTAAAAAAGTGGCATAAATGCCGAATTATGGTATTTTACTAATCAAAGAGATAACTCTATCTGCCTTCGTCGAATTCGAAGAAGCCGAGACCTTTTATAAATGTTGAATTTGTAGTCAAAGAGAATGTGTGCGCTCCGCGCCTGTTTTATAGAGAACTTCATGAGCTATAGATCCATTTTTTCGAGTTTATAATTTTTTCCTTAGCGCCTCCATTTTCTTCAATAAAGATGTATTTTGACGTGACTGTTTGACTTAAAATATTTTCTGGGATAGAAACTATTGAAAATCATCCCCGAAAGGTTCGGGATCCCGAAAGGTTGGAAGATTCAACCCCAAAAATCTTTAATTTTTTCCTAGGACGAAAAAGTCCATTTTTGTATCCCAACTCTGATTTTCAAATTATGAAGTGATTATTAAAGTATGTTACTCTTGAATGGCAGGCTTGTTGTCGTTGTTTTCGTGGTAACAGTCAGTTCCATTTTTGCATCATTCAGGAAACTGCATTTTTGTTTCTTACTGTTCCAACTATTTTTCACATAGCACTGATGAAGGCGAAATCGCCGGAAAGCTTCTGCTGTAAATAAAACTATACATACTGTATTTGTGGTATTTCAAAAATCACGATGTTTTTAAGAAGGAATAAATGGTATGAAAATGGTAACACAGTCCACAAAAGAGGAAAGCAACTGTTGAATTTCGGAGGAAATACATAAAATGAATCTTCTTAGTTAAACAATCACTCTTTCCCCGGCAGTTTTTTTATTTTGTCACTATCTTTTCGTTTGCCTTATCTTTTTAAGTTTTATGGCTGTTATACTAGAAAATTACTATAAAAAATAGGAAAGCGTGAATTATTTATGATCCATGGAGTATTTTGCTTTTTGCATCGCACTCAGACCTTTTATTTTTTTACAGCGATGCTCAGAGCATTACCCGAAAAGTTTCTAGAAAGTCGTTTCGCTCAAAAACAACCCAAAATTCTGTACACCAAAAATATTGCACATTTATCATGGATGAGGCGCGCCTTGAAGGCAAGAATCCGAAGTATTCATGATATTTGACTCTAACGTCATTTTCGTACAGGAGGAGATAAATTAGGTGGTATGCTGTCACCTGGGAACCAGGTTCCCAGATTAGAATTTTTTACCAATCTGTAGGCTTACCGGACTACATTTCTAGATCTAGAACATTCAACAGTCGGTCAGAAAGCTCAAACTCTGAGCTTTCTATTGTAAGGAATCTGCTAAACTGCCTTTTCCCACTGGAAGAATGCCTGCTAATCTCTAAGGACAACAAGGAAGAGTCGGTAGTAGAGTAATCGTTGCTGTATATTTTGTAGAGAAAAGTTGGAAATAAATAACGAGTTGCTCGGAGGAGGTAAAAGTTACGAATGCCACTTCTGATCGGGCTCGACCGGAGTTGCGCTCGATCAGATAATGATAACGTGGGCGAGAGTCTAGCAAACCCTATACTCCCCTGAGACTTGAGCATATGATAAGAATAGTGGCAGGAATAGACTTTGACGCATCTAATGAACAGGATCTTGAGAAAGTGCTACATTCTGGGTTCGATTCTGCGTTAAAAAACCACGTGGGAGAAAAAGCATGAATCTAGACCAGAATATGTAGAGTAGCTCTTCTAGCGATGGCGAGCGGGCGAATCGGCTGGATCAGGGATTGTGCTCAATAAATGGTCGGCGACGGTACTGTAGTGATAAAGTCTAACCTTTTCAGGCCCCGGTCGATGATACAGAGCGAGCTCTGTTGGACCTGAAGGGGCAGCATTTTACGCATAGTTGTAGCTCTTGCTGCTGGAGCTACTGATGTTCATCGGTTGAACTTGGGTTTTCACTCGAGATGATGTCCGCGGCGCTTTCGAATCCAGTTCGACAACTGTACTGTTCGGAGAAGCTTCGGGTCGAGTTCGCTTTTGACGTCGTTTTTGCACTGGATTGGGTCTCTTTTGTGATGCGACATTTTCTGACGTATGATTTAAATCTGCCGCATCACGCGACTTGACATCTAAGTTCTGGGTAGATAGAGCTTGAGAATGGGCTGATTCGGAGATGGTGTTTTCCAAGGTGGTTCCACCAGTAGTATCATCCGCGGCATATTTCACAGGCGAGATATCTGGGTTGATAGTCTGAACCTGAGACCTTTTGACGGGCGTATAACTCCTCTCCCCCTGAGACGATGAATCCGATTGAGTTGATTTCTTTGGAGGTGGAATTCGCGGTTGAGCTATTTGATGAGCCTTCGACTTGATGGTCGAGGTGAGGTGAGGGAAAATACAGTCCATTTCGAAATCGTCGATGAATTTCAAATTGTCGAGTCGTCGAGAAGCGTGACCACTGTGCTGGATGATGCTGGACAAAGCTAAATCCGGCATTTTACCGTTTTGTAGTTGTAGAAAGAGCAAGTTGCAATGATCGGAATGTAGGTAGAAGTGGTGTCCATTTAGCATCATCTCCGGACACTCGCATCCCCATTCAATCGCAAGGTGTTCTTTGTGAGTGTTGGAATCCGCGGCTGACCAATATGCCCATTTTGGAGGGCGAGCCAATCGCATTTGTAGCTCCTTTAGCGCGAAATTCGCATTTTGTGACCCTTTGAAAACGGCTGTGTCAGTCGCCGAGTTTCTGACTGAGTAAAGTGGCACAATGCGATGAGAAAAGCTGTCTGTTGCGATCTTTTCTCCCACTGTCGTTTCAAGAAATGGTCGAACCCAAAGAGGCTCAATTACCGACGTGAGTTCCTTTAAGTTCCCTGGGGGTTCCATCATCCGCGGTTTCAACAGATTTTCTGGGCCTGGCCTAGCCTCAGACTGCGTGATGTCTCGGCCAAGGAGTCTCGCCGGTGGGGGATTTTTTGTTTCCGCCCCGAACGGAAAATTTCCCGGTTGACCATTCCGAAGGAGCGAAGCCTCATCTACCTGTTGTGACTTGTCGCTATTGTCCGGAAATGTGTTGTTAAGCACCTCTTTTACTCGCTTCGCTGGGCATCCTTGGTCACGGGAGTTTGGTGATGCAGCTAACGTAAACTTTTTGTTGTCCGCGGTAACGTTCGTAGCTTTAGATCGCTCATTGTGGGTGATTCGGAAACATTTGACTCGGCTATGAGCCACACCCTTGAGTTTTATCGTTTGGGACTTTGTCTTCGTAAAAGAGTTGTCGAAATATAACGTAAGGGTTCTTAACTTGTTGTCGACGGCGAGTCCGTCAATCGCCGCGTTGTCGAGAACGTCTCTGCCCAGTAGATTCGGAAAACCGGCGGGCGTAACCACCAGCTCGACCTTGATTTGTGGTCCATCGTTGAAGGAGAACCGACAATTCAGTAAACCAAGAGGCCTTTGCGGCGGTGACTTGGGGTCGAATCCGGAAATGTCGAACGGGCAGGGTTGGAGTTGTTTGAGAATTTGGTCGGGTACGCAATCGACTGAAACTGTAGAAGAAGCAGCTCCGCTGTCTACCTCCATCATGGTGTCAAAACTTTTAGAGTCCACCGTGATGGTTGTAGCTGCGAAGTTAGTCTTGATTGAATTCTTCGACTTCAGTTGATAGTATTGGAATGGTTCCAGTTGTTCTTCAATTGTCGTCTTCATCACTTTCTTTTCGGATTTGTCGTCGCAGTCGGTATCTTCGCTATTCGAGTTTCCGTCTTTCGGGCCTTTCTTTCGCCTGTTCCATCTACCGCCTTTCTTCTTTAGGAAGTTGACGGAGACAGAGGTGTCAACTCTGTTTTGGATGGTTTGTTGTGCCAGACGAGCAAGTTCCTTTATTGAGAAGACGTTGCTCAGGGAAGGAGAAATCTGATTGAAAACTTCAGGCTCATTGGATCGTAACTGGAGATAGAGCAGCATGGCTTCTATGACTTCGAAGACATCATCGGCTTCTAGATCTCGGTTTTTTTGAGATTTGAACGCGGCTTTAATCGCTCCTTTCGCCTCTCTCATCTTTTTCTGGACTTCCGCGGCGTAGTGCGCGGTTGGCTTCGTGGAGTCAAATTCGATGTCCCATACTTCTGATAAGGAGAGAAAAAAGTGGCTCTTATCGCCGAAATTCTTTTCTAGAATTGTCTTTGCGTCTTCCCAGGTTGAGCACTGGAGGATTTCTTCACCGATCTGTCGCTCGATAGAGATATCGAGGTGTGAGTAAACGCAGTTCAAGAATGCTTTTAGTCTGCTTGCGTGACCTTCGACGTGTGCTTTGTAAAATATCGAAAGTCGGCCCAAGAAGTTCGTAAATTCTGCGTGTGAACTTCCATCGAGTTTGGAGGTGTCTGTCATGTATCGTGTAAATGTGGCTGTGATGTGAGCTTCTTCTCGATAATTCGCGGTTGTTTGGTGACCTTGGGCAAAAGACTGGGAGCGGTTCAGTTCGTGTTTGCAGAGGCTTCCCATCATCGCGTTTATTCTGTCTCTCTCGAGTATGTTCTTGTTGATGAGAGGGCGAAGAATCGCTTCTTTCGTTGCGTCAGTTTGGATTTGACTCTCCAGGTCGCGATTCATGTCCAGAAGTAATGAGATTCGGACGCCCGCTTCGTATATTGATCCCGGATCGTTGTCGGTCATAGCTCAAAATGTGCGAAGTCACGAGATCTTGATCAAAAGTTTTACCTTTTGGGCCCTCAGAAATAGCCAGCAACTTTTTACAGTTACTGACAGAGACGCTGAGGTGCCGATGTGCGCGTTTGTGGATCTCGGAGTTCTAGTCTTCTGGCAATTTTTCTCTTGCTGGAAGTGTTCTTCGTAAAATCTCTGTCTTCTGTGTTTTTGTTTTGTTTTTCGCGGCTTTGTATTTTCTGATTTATTTTCAGAGTGAGTGGTGTTTCGTTTTCGCGTGTGTAGGTGGGCGTTGCGTCACTAGTCCGCGGCGGGGCCTAGGCGGCGGCGTGGTGGCGCGCGCGAGGTGTTGGAGGAGTGTGTGTGGTGAGCGAAGGAGTGGTGCGGGCGTGTTCCGTTGCTCGGTGCGTGGGTTTGTCGTTTTATTCTCGCGGCGATTTCGGTTGGCGGTGATCAGGGCCAACGGAATTTTTGTGCGCGGCGGGAATTTCTGTTTTCGTAATTCTCGTAATTTTCTCTTGAAACGGCGTTTCTAGCGGTTCCAAGGAAAAAAAGGAGTTGATTCGTAATCCGCGGTCTCTGATTGGTCGAAACGGCGAAAATTACTCGTCGGAGAAGTCGTCACTTTTCCAGAATCTGGGTCTTCTTGACACCACTGTAAGAAATCTGCAAAACTGCCTTTTCCCACTGGAAGAATGCCTGCTAATCTCTAAGGACAACAAGGAAGAGTCGGTAGTAGAGTAATCGTTGCTGTATATTTTGTAGAGAAAAGTTGGAAATAAATAACGAGTTGCTCGGAGGAGGTAAAAGTTACGAATGCCACTTCTGATCGGGCTCGACCGGAGTTGCGCTCGATCAGATAATGATAACGTGGGCGAGAGTCTAGCAAACCCTATACTATAGAGCCCAAAAAATCTAGCTGCCGGTCGGTCTGTGGCCTCCAGCGAGCGCTAGACGTCCAATTTTGGTGCCAAAATTTCGCTAAAATAAGAGACTATTCCACAAAAAAGTGCCAAAAATGGGGGGAAATAGACATTAAAATTGATTGTCATACACCCGTTGGCAGCTAGATTTCTTGGGCTCTATAGAAAGCTCAGAGTTTGAGCTTTCTAACAAACCGACTGTTGAATGTTCTAGATCGCCTAAATGCATCGAAAAATTTGATGCAAGAGTTCTAGTGCCTATTTTTGTACTTCCGGCCTCAAAATTGCCTTGCGGGCATGACCTAACCCCCTCGATATGGGTACCAAATGAAAGCCCAGGTCTTGGGCTTTCCAAAAATAGGCCATATTACTGCTATACTAAGCTAGAAAAAATGGCTGAAATTTTGTCCGGTAAGCCTACCAATCTGGGAAACTGGTTCCAAAATTCGATTTTATTTCTAATCTGGGAACTTAAGGTCCAAGATTGGAAAAATTTTCGAATCTGGGACCCAAGTTCCCAGGTGACAACGACGGCCAGTGAAGTGAATCTTGGAAACTTTTCTTTGCAAAAAATGATATTTTTTCCGTTTTGACAATGTCAAACCTGAGATTTACTGTAAAACAGGCGCGGAGCGCACTCCCGCTCATTGACTGTAAAGTTAGTAACGTTAATATTGGTCTCAAGTTTCATTTATTGGGAGATTTGTTTTATTTGAAATGAGTGTTTTACACTAATAAGGGGCACTCGACAAAAATACAAAACAGTTGAACGCAAGAGGCGAGTCTTTCAAGGTAAAAGTAACAGGGTGTAGGGGTTTTACTCTCTCTATCTCTGAGTATTCGAACAAATAATGACACGGTATTTATCTCGAGGAAAAGAGTAAACTTTATTAGAGCTTTTGTTTGACCACAGGGTAAAATAGAGTGGTGGTGAATGCCTTGCGGCGCGCAGTTTTATAGGGTGAGACGTGGGCTCTTTGGCGCCCAACGATCTGTCTCAGAACGGAAGTGGGGTGGGTCGTACCAGAAGTCTCTGTGAGCAGAAATTTCGGAAGAGTAAAGACCTTACATAATCCTTCCCCCTTTTATTAGAGCATTAGTTCTGGGTTGGATTATCCTGTTGACCAAGCTCGTCGAAGAGTTGTGAGAGTCCGCCTTGACGTGGATCATCTCCAACGCCTAGAAGCCAATCCATGAATTCTTGATTTGGTTTTAGAGAAAGGTCAGCATCAGAAATCGGGAGTAGCGACATGGCGTCATCGTCGTTGGGTAAGTCGTTATTTATGAAGTTTTCAGATGGTGGTAGTTGAGGATTTGGAATCGGTGCGTCTTGGAGTGGAGTTTCTTGAGTAGCCGAGTCAATTCCAATATTATTCATCTCAATATTTCCATCCATCGTCCCTTGTGATGTTTGACTTCCAATCTGTGAGTTTTGCGCGAGAGTATTTTCATTATTCGAGGCAACCATAGATGTATTTTGCATTGTCGCAGCAATCGGTGAGCTTGTAGTTAAGGAGTCTTCGAGAGTATTTTCATGATTCGAGGCAACCATAGATGAATTCTCCATAGTCGCATCAAACGAAGAGCTTGTAGTTGATGAGTCTTCCAATCCAGAGTCTTGTACTGGCGAGTCTTACACTGGTGTAAGATCATAGTTGAGTTTTGGAGTGAGGGAGTATTCGAGAGCTTCTTTCCAGGTTTCTTCAAACTTATTAAGTTCATCTTTGCAGTGTTGTTTGATCATTCCTACGGATAACTTTTCCAGCGTTTTCCAGAAGACACGTTTGCATTTGAAGAATTTTTCGAAGTTGTCTAGTATTTTCGACTCGTGACCTTCACGAAAGCATGAGATGATAGTCGAGTGAATAATCCACTTATACAAGTCTGATTCTTTCTGATTATAGTTGTAGACTTCATAATCAGTGTCTCGCGAGTATTCTTCGATTTTCTTGTGAGTCTCTCGAATCAGCCGTAGGAGTTCTTCGATTTTTTCTTTGTCTTCTTTTTCCAGATACTGTCGATCAACCTCTATTCCGAAGATCATTGGGAGGCAGTATCTCTGAAACTTGATTTTGATCGTTGATTTTTGGAAGTAGAAACAGTGATCATGCACAAAAGACATCTTTCAATCCAGTGAGTGAGCATCATATAGCGTGAATGTTTCCCAATGAGTAGTGTGTTAATATTTAGCTTGTGCGTATCTTCCTTCATCGAAGACGTGATTGGTCCACTTTTATCGCTGTCGCCATGAAGTCGGGGCAGTTCTCGAAACAGCGTTAAGTACCAGCGAAATGTCACGGCGCTGGGTAACCTTGAAGCGTTAGCCAGGAAACATTTGTCGCTGCGTGATTATTTGTTCATCACTTGAGATCTTCGAACAAATTTTGTTTGATACGTGTTGTTGTGAGAGAGTTGCCAAGTCTCAAATTTCTTCTTAAGAATATAATATTTCGATTTTTGACCATCAGTAAGGCCTGTTTGATGAGCAAAATACGATGTCGAATATTCAGAAAGTTGAAATTGCCTGAGTGATTGAACCTCTTAACGTGTGAACTTGACGTTGTGAGCTGACATTTGAGCGTGGCGATTCCGGTTCTTGATTATTTGAAAATCATCAATCTCTGGGTTCTTGCGAGCATCCTTCATGATGATTGATTTGAACTTTACCATTGTTTACGTAAACTTGAGTGAACATCAGGTCTTGAGTATTATAGAGATGTTTTAACACGTGAGAGTCTGAGCAAGCCAAGAGAGGCGTACCTTCCCCCTTTTTATTTTTGAGCAGTCACTTTCTTGGTCTGAGACGTTTTGACCAGGTATCTTCTTCATTGAAAAGACTTTCCAGATCCAGTGAGTCTTGAGATTTGCTTGTTCCAGGAAGATTTTGTTAAGGAGCATCGTCATCTGTGATGTCAGCATTTCCCATTATTTCCTCGTTCGTCGTGATGTTCGCCTTGATCTCTTTTTCATCAAAGAGTTTTAATGGACGAATATTGTGAAGATGACGGCGATATGTGCGTTTTGTCTTTGGACACATGAGAATATATGAGTCTTTCGAGATTCGATTTTTGACGTAGAATGGACCATCCCAATTGATGCCAAGTTTTCCACTTGTGTGATCAGGCTTGTACGTCAACACCTTTGTTCCAATTTTGAGGACAGGAGCGCTGTTTTTGTCCTTCATTACGAGCTTGTTATATCGATCCATGTGAAGTCGCATTAATGATGGGTGAAGTTCACGTAAATACTCATTCAGAGCCTTCACGAAGGGCTCTCTTTTTCCATCAATTGAGTCAATCTTGTAAGGAACGTGAAATGACCGACCAAAGACGCATTCGTTTGGTGTGAGAGAATCCAATGTTTCTCTTGGGAGATTGTTCATGTGATAACACGCTTCAGGCCACTTAAGCGACCAATTTCTACTGTTTCCGCCAAGAGTTTTGATGAACTTTGCAATGTCGCGATGTGATCGTTCAACTTTTCCATTTGACATACTTCGGTAAGCAGTAGTTATGACGTGAGTGATTTCGAACCTTTTCAATATTTCTTTACAGAGGGGCCCGAATTCTTTGCCGTTGTCAGACACAATGACACCATTGATACCATGACGCAGGATGAGCTTGAGAAGTCCTCTAGAGACCAGAGCATCGCTTTTGCTGTGAAGTGGTTCGCCATCCAGGTATGAGGTGAGCTCATCGATACATGTGAGTAGATACCTCTTATTATTTGTATCTTGTCTGTAGAAGTCAACCAAGTCGATGTGAACTTTTCTGAATGGAGTGGACTCGTAAAATCTATTCGGAATCATGCTTGGTTTGAGTTTCTTCTGAGGTTTGATCCGGAGACAGGTTGCGCAGCTTGAGGTTATTGAGCGAGCACGATCTTGAACCTTGTGGATGTAGAATCGTTTGACCAGATTAATGAGGGCTTTGCATCCACATTGAGCTGTGAGAACGTGGAGATAATTCAAGAATTCATTCGAAACCGATTCCGGGAGAACAATTCGATTGTCAGCAAACAAAACACCGTTGGTTTGTTTGAACTTCTTGGAAGGATTTTTCTTCGATTTCTCAATGAGATTTTGAG